AGCGGTAGGTTCATCATCATCATCGTCTTCCAACCGACATCCACCGATGTGATCTTTTGCAGTAGCAGCATCATGTTCGGCAAGAACCTGCTGCATATATGTCCTAGGCTCGTTCAGGGTGGTGTCACGCCAGTTGGACTGCTCCGGCCTTGCCTGAGCTGCGATTCGGCGACGGCACTCTTCAGCTTCTTTCGATGTCTCAAAGCGGTACGCAGCGGTATGACTGCTTGATTCATCTCGGCTAGAGCTCGGTTCGCTGCCTGAGGGCAGAGTGGTGACGTGTCTTGGAAGTGACACAGTTGATGATTCTTCGCAGGTTTTCGCACTTTCCCGGCGAGTACACTGAGTGTTGGTTTTCGAATCCGATTCGTTGAGTGTCCGCACGTCCACCGGATTAGAGTCCGACTTGTGCTCATCGTTGCTATACACGGACGATGAATCTGAACCGACGGAAAAGACCGCGCTCTGCCTAGATGAATTCATCGCTGTCGATGCGAGAGATCGCGATTTCGAACAACACGCCAGTTGCAGATGACGCCTCGCAGCTGCGGCCGATCAGACGACGTCAAGTGGCCGATGGCGTAGAATTGCTTCCGTTTGCTTTGAGGTTAATCGGAAACGTGGCAGCAAACGGCGTTGATTGTCGCACCGTTGTTTGTCGAGTGCCGGGAAAGGATAATGATACGTTCAAGCGTGGCGAATATGTATCGCGAGGTCTGAGAGTATTACCCAGGCTACCTCCGTGCGCTGATCTTTGTCAATGAAACAAGAGTACTTCTACTCCGACTCACGCGGCATCGCAGTGAATATTTCTCAAATCTTTGTCCAGCCCACGGTATACCCAAGCAAGTGCAGGCTATCTATACAAACCTTCACCTCGTCGCACATGACCAAAGCAACCGACAAGTCTGCATGATACATCTCAGTGACTTGGTCTGCTGGTCTTCACATCCGGGATACACGATTTGAATCGCTACCATTTCGAATCACTCCGGCAGCCGGAAAGAATGTCATCGAAGCACCCGAATACCATGTCAGCCACTTCATTAACAGCCCTGGAAGGCCAGAAGGCCAATGATTCCAGCGTCGGGGATCTGAGCGAGCGACTCACAGACGTCAAGATCGGCGTCAGCGAGAACACTGCCATGGAGAACCTGACAAAGGATCTGGCTTCCAAATGGGAGCCGTACGGTGCTCATTCTTCTCAACCAAAAGGTGATGGTCGGGCACAAGGCACCTCGTGACCACCAGATGCGGCAGCGAAGTCCAACCTTCTAGCAAAGACGACCAAAGCAGCTGGCGCGTTTTGATGGAGTGTTATGTCGATTTTAGCTGAATACGGTCTTTCATGCTTGTATGGATGACGCAACCCACGACCTGGTACAAGTGGTCGAACGCGCATGGCAGCGAGCTTTAGGGCGTGGAGAGGATGCCGTCGCGGAAGCTAGGGTGATTCAAAAGGTTCGACGAAAACATATGCAGTAGAACCAACGACGCAATGATCAACAATACGACACCTGTTCTGATGCTGGCAGCGAAGTCGTACTATGGTGGGTGGTCATGACCTCGGGATGCAGCTGGCAGAGAAGGGGAGCGACGCTAGCAACACGCTAAATTACTTGATTACGTCACGCGTGCCGCAGCTCGCCGTCTCGAGCTACGCGACTCCAGAGCCCTTCACTCCACCTCCACAACTAAGATCCGCTATTCTCATGCCATGCATCACGTTCAGACCCACGAAAGACTCACCCACACGCCATGACGGCATGCTCGGCACACAATGCAAGCCTTTCGAGAACGCGTCAGACGCGCCTGCCACTGCCAGTGTCTAGCACAACGCATCTTGCGGTTCTAGTCGCGTTATGCTGATGGACATGCAACTGCGAAAAGAAGCGATCTTATGCAGGAGTCTGGCACGCTTTATCATGAGGCAATGGCGTGCTCAGAAGTACATTGCCCAGCTCTACTAACGTGTGCGCAACAAAGCCCACATTGGCATACGAGGGACGATGAATTTTGACGACATTCCTGCTGAACAGTTCGTTACACGAGAGTCCGCATACGATCTCCTCAAAACCTCTCTCCGTCAAGGCCCCGGCTATGCTACATGGATACAATTCATTCCACCCCACTTCGGGGCAAGGCGCGCATCATCCCCGGGAGATCACTTGCCAAACCAACCCTGCAATAATCCCTTCGATTCACTGACGTCGCCTCCGACCTTTTCCTTCTCTTCTGGCTCCGGTGTCGAATGGCGAGATACACGTTCCCAGTCATTTTCGTCGTCAGGATGCCGTGGGAAGTGGACGAAGCCGGTAGAACTCACCTCAACGGGTGCCATCCCATCGATACTGTGATAAAATCCTTCACTCTTCTCGCTCGGCACCAACTTTACGGATGATGAAGCCTTCCGATGAGACCTCGGCGTTTTCGGCTTGTGGTTGTGGGGAGACTTGTTCGAAGCTCTAGTGGGCCGCCGGGCCTGCTCATCAAGCATATCCCGTTGCAGCTTGATTTCGAAGTCGTGCACGCGTTTATCGATACGTTCACGCGCGATCTCCTTGGCTAGCTCGGAGTCTGGGGGCAGGAAAGCTTCCTTGGCAAGCTAGAATGCGTTAGCGACGAAGCTTCCTCACCTTTAATATGAAGCCTACAATGTCTTGCCGAAAAGCCGCCACTCTGGATTTGAACTCTGCAGATTTACAAACGTCGCTTAACGCTTTCTTCTCCTTTGCAAGAGCTTTGGTGGCATGTCTGGACATGGCTGCGTCAACCATCTGGACGGCGTCTGCAACCATACGCTCGGCTTGTCCGACGTCTTCCTTTGTTATTGATGGCCGAGACGGATCCCTGGGCTGACGGCTCGTATGTCTACGTTCTTCGTTCATCTTGGATTTCGACGGAATCGCTATACTGGAAGCGGTGGGCGAGTTGAAGTAAAAGCAAGTTTCCTGGTTGATGTATACAATCACGGTCTTGCTGGTGTGCTGGTATGGACTTTTATATTCAATACCCCACATGGAAGCTCACAGTGAAGAAGCGACTAGGCCATTCGCGACTCGAAAGCAGACACATAATTATTGAGTTCACGAAGTCTGCATCACCATCTGGGTCGGCCACGCAAGCATTCGCATTCACTCTATTACCCGCAACACGGTTCACTCCCTCCAAGAAGGAACAACAGGGGACTAGATCACGAGGGAAGCGGACTGTACTGGTTCTACTCTGCTGCACACGATAAGGTTCTACTATCTCTCCTCGGCCTACTTGCGACCGAATGCATGTCGGAACCAATGGCGAACTCTGCCCCACCTCTTAGTCTTTCTATCATCTTTGCTCACTTCTCGAGCCCAAATCGGCTTCACGTTGGTGTTGACAATATTCTCTTCTCTCTGACTTAGCATAGGCTCCGCTCGAGGTATCGTGCGCTGGGTCTTCATGTGCCGCGATGGTGTTGATAGATGAAGTCGAGCAGTTTGGGAGGCCGTGTTACTCACTTGCAATGGCGATGGGCTGTATAGCATCAGAGGTTGGGGAGACGGCGGTCGTGAAGCCGCTGCTTTGGAGACAAGTTGAAGGTTGGTGGCCTCTTTGACGTCGCGATTTACTGTCATCGAGACAGACTGCGGTACGACTTGTGTATCCTCTGCGTCAGCAGGTTCGATGTTTCCCCATATCGGTACAGACTCCAGGTTGTCGCTGAACCTCCACCACTCATTTTTACGGCGCGGTATTGTCGAATCGCCACTGAAACGCCAGCCAAGAGCTTGCGGAACGCCGCTGCTTCGGTGCCGCAGCATTCGAGGCCGGCCAGCCCTATCGCGTGACTGTTCGCCGTCTATAACGACGATTCTATCTTTATTTCGTTTCGCATCGTCGCCAGATTCCGAATCTTCATCACCAGACGAATCCCCAAGAAGGGTGTACAATTGTCTGTCATCAAGTGCTGGGAGGCTCGATCGCATCATCGTCAACCATTCAATCCGCAGTTCGTCATATGCACAGCACAGTCTTCGAAGCTTCGTGCTAGAGTTACCAAACGAGTAGCGCTGATGCTCGCGGCCAAACACGATGCCTTCATTCCGGAGACATCTCTTCAGAGTACGTAGTTCAGACTGTAGTTGTCTGTCTGCACCTCCGTGGTCGGGAGGCTCATAGTTATCGACGAAGAAACTGTTCCATTGCTCTTCGTACATGGGACCGAGACGTAGCATGGTCTGGAGCTCCGTGGACGCGTATGGGTTACCGTAAGTAAGAAGCTCTCCATTGTCGGAGAAAGTAGCACCCATCTGTTGTAACCGACCACGCAGATGTAGAATCTCAGCGAGTTCGTCCAGTATCGTTTTTCGTTGGGTTGTGTGGCACGCCTCGTTTGTTGGCTCGCAGATCTCTTGGGTGCCGTATACACTCAAAAGATGGTCCATCCCCGTCTCGGTGGTCTTTACCGGACTACCCGTGAGTAGAGCCAAGGCATCTTCGTGTGCTTGCATTTTGGGTTGTAAGGTCGCAGATTGTGGTCGTTGGCTCCTGAAAGGTTGCATTGGAAAGATTAGTACAGTTGCGGTGCGAGGGGGTTTGGTGTGCAGGAATCGTTTGCAACAAAGGAGATTTGATTGGGGCCAAATGAGAGCTCAATCGCGCAACGCTTCAGCATGAGGTTGATTCACCAGACGACACCGCCGCGGAATGACCGCCGAGATAGTGTGCTTGCAGAACGATTTCACTCCCCACTTGCATATACACCCGCGCAAGGCGCACAGACACTTGAGCACGTGTGACTCCCACGCTTATACAATATAACAACAGCTACTCGTCCTTTTGGCGAGGCTCACCCTTTCGCTGGAGGCGCCTATCTACCAGGACTACAGCGACCTTACGCATCTTAAGAGATCTATTCCACCGCCTTCGACTTCGCATATCGTGGGCCGGGTCTTGCTATTTAACATTATCGCGATTTAGGAATCTTTTGTCCATCTGACGACCCCGAGCCACCGCCGAGAATGAACGTTGAGCCGTCTACCAGCTCACCTTTAAGCACTCCCATCAACACTAAGCTTATGACTATGTCTCAGCCCGACACACCGTTTGCCAGCACCAAGGACCAACTGCGTGGGAAAGCTGGCCCCATATCACACTCACCAATCCTGCGACATCGTGCCCGATCACTATCAAGCGGCCTTCCCCCACGTGGTCTCGTCGCATCGCGGGTCAATACCATCAACATGGTTAGCCCACTGACTGATGTAGACGTCTCCGCTCACAGTGACCGCGACACATTCCCATCTCAGGCAAAACCCTCTCCACCGACGTCAACGCCTCACTATCGCCCCGGTGCACGCTCGGCTCATAGTTCCCCGCTGAAGCGCAAATGCAAGATCGACGACTTCGCACTTCCGCCGCTCCCGCCGACCGTGTCCGCAAACGAAGTTGCTCAGGACGACATTCTAGCTGCATGGGACCTCGTCACATCTAGTAACAAAGGCATTGTCCAGAGCGAGGCCTCGAACAACGAGCCCTTCAAATCCTTAGACGACTCAACAGCGGGTAGTACACCATTTCACCGTGACCATCGACGAAACAAAACAAGCTTATCACAGGTGGTCCCGCGCAGTGACCCACTAAAGGGAACTGCATACGGCACGGCATCGTTTCGTGCAACAGCAGGACAGTATAGCCATTGGCCGACAGACTCACACCATACTTCCTCTCCAGACGACTACTCAGGTGTGGATGTGTTCAGCTGCGACACGTTTCCTGAGGTGCGTGCTACGAAACGAAAGTCGCTGCCAGGCTACAGCAGTACAACCTCCACCATGGAGTCAGGCAGGTCGGAAGAATTCCACGATTACACCCTATCACCAAGGATGACAGCGGACGAATCTTCTCCGGGAGCTGGAGCAAGATCCTCAGCGGCTGAGCCATATTTGACGCTTCGTAGGGTCGAGAAGTTCAACGACACCGAGAGCTTCAACACCCACACAAGCCCCTTCTCACAATATGAATATGCGCTCTCGCTCTCAGACATGGATACCGACGATGTTCGCGAAATCTACCCATTGGAAGCCTTTACCCAAGCAAGCGCTCAAGATGGCTGCGCTATCCAAGACTGGGCATCCCAATGGCCATCGGAGCAGCCTGTGAAGAAACTCCTCCGCTTTGCTTCCCGACCAGACTTTGCACCCTCCATGCACTATGAGTCAGAGTCGGATGACTATCCTTCTCTGCAGAACCTCCTCGATTTGGACGAGCATGGTCCTGAGCCACGAAAGAGTCCGCTCAGTGCTGTGAATGTCCCCGGTCAGGCACAGGATGATGGGCTTACGACCCTCGCACCAGTTTCCTATTACCCGGGTGTTGGATCAGAGATGACTATCCTTCTCCCGCGAACGTACAATGCGACTTCCGACGACGATGAAATGACTCTTCCTTCACGCACATACAATGCGACTAGTAGCGATGAAATTATGTGTCTCCTCCCGCTGACGTACGATGCGAATTCTGTGAGCGCACTGGAGAACGCGTCGACAATCAAGCGGAAGCCGATACTGCGAAAGGCCAAAGACGGGTCGCTTCGATCTTCTGCACCGTCCCCCAGCTCTTCAAACTGGGTGGTGCATGACGGATACGATAGCGAGGAGGATCTCTGGACGAAACCCTGCAGCGGCGTTCCGATGAATACGGAAGCCTCGGACCTTCACCGCAGTAATAGCTTCGATGACCGCGACCCCGACGTGGAGTCAATTCATATTGAGAAGAGACACAAACGCAATGGCTTGAAGACCACACATGAGCAAACCGCGAACTCTGCCGGCAACTTCATTGGGCCGTGCTCAACTGCAGATGTTATCAAAGAACCCGCACCTTTTGGCTCGATCACCCGTCGTCCACTCCCGACCATCAGTCATGTTCTCAATCCTCCACTCCCAACTAACACCGGTGTTTTGAACCTCGACTTCCAGTTCCTGACTCGAATTCCGTGGCAGCAGCAGCAGCGCGGTGTCAGCATGCCCGTATTTCCTGCACCTTCTGCTGCGCGTGCTCAGGGAACGAAACATACGCGACGTAAATCCTTTGGGAAGTTGCTTGGTGCTTTCGGCAAGAAGGGCCCGGAGCCTGCAGCGGTAGAGGCGAAAGAGAAGCCAAAGAAGTCGCTCAGTCGGCGCATTAGTAGGAGATTCTCGTCGATGTGGGCGAAGTAAACCTCAGAGGCTTGAATGCGCATGGTGGGAGGATCGACTTAGGAGCATGGAGGTGCGACTCTCCTGGCACATTGGAGACCACTTCTGTCACGGTTACTTGGTGACACATAGTTGGTGAGATCACTAAGCTATGCCAAGACGGCGGTCATGTGTGCACGTGGTAGATGCAGTACGTATGGTACACTATTAGAAGGAATACGTTTGTATACGTGCAAGGATTCATCATAACAAAATGTCTAATACAAGATGAACGAAAGACTACGAAGAAAACATCAATACCATAGCCATTACAAGCTCGTTGACAGGAGCTCGTAACTCAGCCCCATCGCTGTCCAGCACGTCTCGCCCCGAATAAATCCACCATACCTCCAGTTCAACAAGCCAGGATGCCATTATAGCTTACTGGCAAATAATTACCCCATTATCCAGGTTCGTGTTACCAAACTCCGCATCAGCGCCACCAGGTCTATCATCGAATTAGCTCTTGCCCACATTACAACATTATTTCTGTGACCTGATCCAAGAACTGGGATAGACGGAGAAGTAAGCTTACACAATCGTAGCAACCTTCCTCGTACCCTGCGCATCGGTAAAGATGCTACAACTCCCACTCCCGCTCCCCACAATCAGCGCGCGGTTTGCGCGAATGGGCGTCCCCAGATTACCGAAATTGGCGCGGATGGAAATGCGCATGCCGTTTGCGGGGATGTTGGCCTGGACGGCGGTGTCGGTGGCGTCGTTGGAGAGTTGCACGCGCAGGGTGCGGGTTTGGCGGGTGGATATGTCGGTCGGGGCTGCGAGAGCGACGGCCGCGAGGAGAGGGGCGAGGAGGAGGGTGAGTTGCATTTTGGGGTGATGTTGGATTGGTTGGAGGGGTTGGTGGGTGTGGTGTAGAGGATGTAGAGGGTGTAGAAGAATGTGTTGATGATGCTGTTGATAGAAAGAAGAGAGAAGAAGGTATTCTGTCGACTTTATGTATTCTTCACATACCGCTACCGTACATCCGTACACGGTGAGCTCTCGTTCCGTTCTTTTCTTAGACTACACTATCCGGCTGTCGCTGCTCAGCCTACATGGATGCTAACACTTCCGCTATCGCTCTTACTCATCGCTCCAAGCTCTCCAAGCACCAATGATAGAAACGAGACCAAAGCACGCAACGCGCAACCCTACGTTTTCGTAAGAAACATCTGCTGTTGAGACTTGGTTAATAACTTAGTACTACAGAGCTGACAATAGACGTGATGACAAGCATGTCAGTGTAGGCGATTCTGGAATCCGGATATTAATTTAGTCATTACCTGCACTATTTCGGGACGGAACGCGTTAGCAGTTATGCTGATGTCAGACCGCCAGTGGCTGATGTGGGGTACACAGGACTGGGCGCGTGAACATGAGAAGCTGAATTTTGAACTGTTTTTGGAATCTAGATGGTGTTGACGGGCCAAGCGATGTGCCCAGCATGTGGTACCTGTGCGTGCTGCTCTGGAATATGGCGCCATCCGGTAAGAGTCGGTTGCCAGGGTCTGCATGGCGATGCAGCGGCGAGATATATGCGGCCGTTGTGCGTGGCATGGCCAAAGTGATCAACAAAGGATGTGTTACACTGTTTGCAGCATTAGGCCGCGCAACAGGCTTGGTGGCTGTATGTCAGGAACAGGTGCGAAATAGACTGCTTCCTTTGTCAGCGTTAGCCAAGAACGTCTATTCTTGCACTGGTAAATTGCTCTCGACAGCCAGTTTTGAAGCACCTCTTGTTCTTCCATGCACGCAAACAAAATCGAACGGATTGAAGCATAGTGTGAAATTATTGTTTTGTATTGATACATCGTGGGCAGATACTGGTTTGTCCACGTATACGGCCGTCGCAGTCTTAGCCAAGGTCGTCGCTATAGTCATGCTCGCGTCATGAAGTTATCCATCTACCTCCTGGGGAGAACGTCCTTCGCACCGTCCTTGACCCGTTGTGCGGCATCGGCGACGGCGTCCCTGGTGAGGTGGAAATGCTGACCGAGACGGTCCTGCGAGAGTGTTAGTAACTTATACAAAGCAGCGGATATAGCTAGTAGCTTACCTGCTCAGCTCCCATGCCGCTACCGGCCATCAGCTTCGCCCTCTGCTGACCATCGTATCCAAGACCGAAGTACTTGGCGTTCTTCTCTCCGTTGGCAGCCACGCTTCCCGCAGCTTGTATCGCCTTGGCAGCATCGATGCTGTGCAGCGCAGGGCTGAAGTGTGCGTTGTATCGGTCTTGCTCGGCTCCATCGCCCTTGTACTTGGCCGCTGACTTCATGGCGTTGTAGCCACGGTCGCCGATGCTCATGTGGTCGCCGTAGCGGTCCTGCTCGGCGCCCTCGCCCTTGGCCAGGGCAGCTTGTTGCAGCTTGTTGAGGCCCTTGTCGACGCCGCGGCGGATGGCATCTGTGGAAGCGCCGAAGTGCTCGCCGAAGCGATCTTGCTCAGCGGCGGAGCCGTGCTTTGTGGTGACATCGACGTTGACGGGGTGAGTCGCAAGGGAGGACTTCTCATCGGAGCTGAACCAACCCATTGTGATTGATTTGAGGTTGTTTGTGGTAGGTGAAGAGGGGTTGTAGTTAAGTTGAGAGTTAATTTGAGAGTGTGGGAATTGAGTTTGCAATCGCTGTGTGATGGTGTCAAGTGGACGAAAAGATGTCGTGTTATGTTGCTGGGTTGCGGAGAATGATGACGTAGGGGCTAGCGAGCGCGCTAGAATCCTTGTCTTGTGCCTGATCGTCATGTGAAGACGTCGCCGCGGCCCACTAATCATCATTGCAATGTTAGGTTTGCGGTTCCTTCATGCTCTTGTTTTGCTTTTGCTATGTCCGGCTCTCCGCGTTATGCATTTCCTCCCAGAGGTCATTGTGCTATGCGCTTCCAGTGCCCCGACTTTGACGCATTGCACGGGAACAACAATTCAGCCAGCCCTTCAAGCTTTGAGGAGTATATATCTATGCGAAGCGGTTTAGGCTGCATGAAGACAACATTTCTGCAGATGTTAACGGCTCGGACGAGAAAGACGCGGGCTTTGAGAGGTGGCTGCCCCACTCGGAGCTATGCAAAGCCTGATTGGCCAGTGTTTAGCGCCCACGACAGATGGTCTTCCGTCATCCTTCCCTTCCATCATACTTCCGTCTACATTACTCGCAACATTCTCATGCAGGTCGCGCGCAAAGTTGGTATTTTGAATCTATTTCATTTCCTTTCTAGTCATCTTTGGTTGCTGTCTTACCCCACAACATCATCACCTTTACCTGGAACCATTCCGGACGCAGCAGTCTTGTCAAACATCACTCGCTTTCCTTCGCGTGCTTTGCTATCCACAGTTTCATCGCGTCTACTAGGTTATGTTCAACAAAGAGCCGAGAGACATGATCAATATCTTCGCCGATCTTCCGCATCTTACTTCGCAAACGCGCGCCTTCACCTAGCCTTGAGCATTACACCTTTGCACTTATCAAAAAAACCCAGCAAAAAGAAACTTTCTATTCCTCCCCTCACCAGCCTCGAACCATCACCCTCAACCAGCAAAAAGATACCATGGAACCTTGTATTCTATCCAGGTACGAAACTTGCTTCTTTAATGGCAGTTTATCACGACTAGCTTGATGTTTCTTCTGATTGGCTTCTTGTTTCGATTCTTGTTTGTGGCCTTGAGCTTCCTCTGGCTTCGGCTATAACCGGCTGGAGTGCTGGATGTTTTTTTCTGTGTGCTAGCCGCCACCCTTTTGTTGGCAGGTAAAAGTGGTTTCGATGGTGGATTCGGGGATTGGGTGGGTTATAACTGCGGGGTGTGCGGTTGGGAAGGTGAGAGCAGTGTTTTCAGGAGCAGGTGAGAGAGACGCGTTGGTGCGGTCGCGTGGCGGCTCTTGTGAGGTGAGAGAGCGGAGGTGAGAGCGCGTTGAGAGACCACCCAGGCGATAGCGCGCCCGGATGAGAGCACGAAAACGAACAGGAGGCCATGCCACGAAAGCGCTGCAGAGTGGCCATCGGCTTTCGTTCGCTATGCCCACGAGATGTGGCACTTATGACAATCGGGAGCTGCCATTACATCAAGAAAACACAGCGCCAACAGGTAACAAACGCGTCTCCAACACATAGTGCCAGTATTTATAAGCTATCTCGCGCGGAGAGACCGGTTCTGTATCGGATGAGCAGCGACAGAATGGATTTACAACGTGCCAGCGTCCCGACGCGCAACCAATATGACCGTGTACGCCAAATACAGGTCGTGGGCAACTTCCACAAGGCAATTTGGCTGCTCAGGCATAAAACAACTGGCCAGCTTGCTGTGCGCAAAGAGTTCGATCCTAAAGATGTTGCATCGGGCTTTGCTGCCCGCGAGATAAGACATCTCATACGTCTATCCAACTGCTACAACATCTGCACCTACCGGGAGCATGAGCTGGACTTAGCAACGGGAACTGGCGCACTTGTCATGGATGTTTACGCGTACGGTGATCTATGGGCTTTGCTCGAAAAGCATGTCAGCCAGCGCAAATCTTTCTCCGAGAGCTTCATCTGGCACGTCTTCAGGTCGCTAGCCCGGGCTCTTCGACACATGCAGCGAGGCGATCCTCCGGTTCTGAGTAACACATACGACTGGATAATACATCGAGACATATATCCCCGCAACATCTTCCTCGGTCTTCCCGCCTCTCACGAACCCTCGTGGCCGAAAGTCGTTCTCGGAGACTTTGGCTCGAGCATATCGAGCACCGACCACTGGCAAACCATTGAGCTGCGACAGCAACAAGACTTTAGTCCGCCGCCTTTCGAACCACCGAACAACAAAAGAAGTGACGTATTCCAGGTAGGATTGGTTATCGTTGCGCTGTGCAGACTGACCACGATACCGAGCCTCTACTCGCGCTCGTTTCAAAGCAACCCAGCTGGCCTAGCGTATACACCGGGGCTCAACGATATCTTGAAGAGATGCCTGGAATTCTCACCTGCTGATCGCGTATCTGCGATGGAGCTACATCAGGTGCTGAATACTCGCTTAATTGGGGGTGGTAGTCTACATGGGTTGTTACTTGGAGCGCCAATGTACCAGGCTTAGGTGGTAGAGCCTCCCACACATAGTTTGGACTGTATCGCTAGATTCTAATTGACATACCGACCCAAACATTGCGTTACTCATTATCTCCTCAAGATACACAAGATGTCTGCTCCAATGTCACGAGAAAGCTCCGCGGGTGAGACAAGGGACTAGTGCGCATATGGTTTAGCGTGGACCCTGTCTGCCGTCAACCTTCCGGAAATCGCGTCTTCTCTTCCATCGCGTCTCCATTGGCACGTCAACACACTTGATCCTTCCTGTTGTCGCCTGCCTCTCTGCTCCTGCCCCCGACAACCAGCAAGGCACCCTTAGCATGGCCTGCCCACACATCCTTGCCGGATCTGGCAGCCATGTTTCCAATGCTCTCGCCATGCAATGTACCGGAATCTCACACGTGCTGGAATGAGGGTATTATTATTGTTTGCCTGAGTCAATGTTTGTTGTCTTCGTTATGACCATGACCGCGATCAGCTGCTAAGCAGTTCGACACATGACGAGAAGATGGAAGTATATCTAACTAGGGAATGGCAGCCTTTTCTGGCTTCTCACATCGTCTCAACTTCTGCAATTCTCTGCTCATGGCTTCGACATTATGCGCTTATTGCCACGGACCAGCAACACAGATATGCGGCTGCAAACAGCACCACTACTGCAATGACGATCACCAAAAGGCTGATTGGACAAATCACAAGCACACCTGCCACGACATCCGGCTTGAAGCCTTTCTGCCACAAGTCGCCAACGTCATTCAGTCAGCTTCTCTTGCGCTCCTCGAAGCTACAAACATGATGCTGATTACGAAAATTGAACTGGACAATCAGAAGATCGTCGCCTACAAGGGTGTTAACTTTAGCAACAACCCGTTCCCGAAGCTCACTGACAATGTGTTCCCTGATACAGCCACCAAACACGCGGTGCTGTGCTGCAATGCGCGATTCTTACCCCTAGCATATATGCATCTGTTGCTCAAAAAGCTCATCAAGAGTAAGTGGCCCGGCATATATCTGCGCGCGATTTAATGATAAGCTGACACTTGACCAGCCAAACATGTTGAGATCCACGAAGTCATGGTAAAGATCAAGACAGCATCACGGACCGTTCGTATCCTCGCAGATGACGGTACAGATAGCGAGAATTGGCCTGAGCACAATATTCCACTGTTACGAATTACCGCCAATGGGAGCCGAAAGCAATGGTACATCAACCTATCCGGTGCTGAGCTCGGGCTCACGCAAGCATTCTTTACCGCTGCCGACCTCGAATCCAAGCACATGCAGGCGCTTTGTGCAGTCTTCGAGTTCGGTAAATGTAGAGAATACATCTGGACTTGCTCAACTATGCCAGGCTGGTTTGCGCACACAGAGCGCATTGGCTTTCAGGCCTCATCATGGATGGAAGCAGCACTACTGACCTTCTTGCAGCAGCCTGGAAATGACTTGAAAAATCTTCGTAAGAGGAGCATCGCAGGCTCGACGAGCTGGACACAACCGTTGGTTGAGGCTTTGTCTCAGGCTGTCCATGGGTACATCTCCAACTACAACGTCGGTGGACTCATGTCTGAGATTATCCATGAGCCCTTGAGTCTGACGCGAGAAATGACGAGGAGGCATTTTGATCACGCTAGCATTCTTGGCGATGCTATGACGGACGAGGAGAAAGCGAACCGCCCTAACGTAGCTTTGGATCTGGCGAGGTTCGAGCAACAACACAAGGGCCCTGCCGTGAATATGGTGATAGGGGAGTTTAAGTCTCTTTAGTTAGAGATACTCACGGTGCATGGCCACGAGTGGCGAACAATTGATGCGAGTTGCAATTCATCTCTCAATCAGAATTATACGATAGCTGTCGTCCTTCACATACCCAACCTTGAATCGCTTCGCTTGGGGGTTGGTAGCCACGATATGGTCCCCCTCGCGTCAATCTAGAAAAATGCTGAACACCCTAGAGCCTACATCGACGTCGCGTCACCCACTTTGCATGTTTTAATCTTGGTGTAGTCTGCAGACCTATCCAATCTATTCATCTAGGCTGCAAGCCAAAAGCGTCATAGCTCAACTCGTGAAATCGGAACAAATATTGCCCGGCTTCACTGATTACTTTGCTGCGCCCACGACTCCTTTGCGCTGTTTACGATAACAAAGAAAACTATGGCTCCAGAAGTACAGGCAGCGTGCGCCGTCTGTGGCGAGCCGGCTCACAGCAAATGCGGCGCCTGCAGTTCAGATATCTCATCGCGCCAATACTGCAGCAAGGCCTGCCAGGTAAGATCTCCGATGTACGAACTGCGTGTGAGACATACACTGACTTCGGATATCGTCAATTTAGGTGAAGGATTGGCCGACTCACAAGAAAGCATGCAAAGACGTCCAGAACGCCAACCTCGAGAAGAAGCTTGCGCGTGTAGCCGAGATCGTTCAGCAGGCCTACTACGACTTTCGCGAAAACACTTGGGACAGGCCTATCATCAAGATCGAAGACCGAGACGACATTTTGGTGATTTGCGAGGGCGACTATCAAAAGAAGTCGAAAAATTTCATCAGGTTTCCGCGACACCTTGTTACGAATGATCGCACCAAGAAGGCGATGCTTTGCGCTTGGGTGTGCAACGAGCCGATGATCTGGATGCATGATACTGTTCTCGGTGCTCTTCGAGGTAATACCTATCCAAAAGACATTCTGCATCATTACGCTTACTCGATTCCCACAGGCCTCAACATCAAGATTGAGGAGGTTGGCGTCACCCTGGGCCGTGTTCCCCGAAAGATCACCATCCACCACTACCCTCAAGGCAGCAGTATGGACAACTGGCCTGGCTTCTACCATGAAGTCATCCGTGTTACATCAAGCAAGACCAGGAAAGAATGGGTCATCGATATTTGCGGTGCGCAGTACGGGATCTGTCAAGCCTTCTGGAGCTGGGACGAATACGCGAAAAGGTACGGTGCAGAGGTACGGAAGGTGCATCCTGTTGGCACGAGCAAAGCTCGAATCGAGGAAGTTGCAAACATTGCCGGCCAACCAAGCCTGAGTTACGGTTTAGTGGGAAAGGTAGCAGAACATTTCAACGAAGTTGTACACCGATGGCGAGTGGATGGCGGCATGTCACTAGCGGGCCTCCTCGACCTGGACAATGAGAAATACAAGCAAGCCAGCTGGGAGCTACTACGTATCATGGATGTCGCAGTTGGGACTCACATGAAAACTCATGGGTATGAAGCGGAATTCCTGGCTGCTCAGTACTACGAACGAAGGTATCCCGGTAAGAGCGCTAGTATCGCCTGCGCGGCCAACGAGGCGTTCTCCGCTCGAATTGCTGGCATGGTCGCAGCGAAGCATTAGTAGCATTGAGTTGGTGTGCGTTCCAGCAGCATGGGTAGGGTGTAAAAGGGTATCCAGGAGAATACATCGGCACATAGGTGTCCTCAAAAGAGTTTCCAAGTCTGATGTAGGCCTCCACCAGTGTCATAAATTTCTTGAAACAAGAGTCAATGCGACGTATCCCAGGCCGGGGAAGCTCGGCCAGACCTTTCCTTGCGGCTCGGTATCACCTTGAGGGTATTCCTCCTCATCCTATGAACTTACTGCAAGAGAATACTGAACTCCAAATCGCTGGGCGAGCTGGTATGATCGAGCCACCTCCTACCTAACAAACGCAAGACCCGCTGTACGTTCCCCTCATGGAAACGCTCGGATCGTTATCATCCAAACTACTCACTACATGCCCCATCCTGTCGAGGTAAGCATGCCAATCATCACCCAGAGACTCATTGATTGAGATCGTCCCGAAGCTCCGATCTAAACCCATAACCGAGTCTGTTGCGGGATGGGCGGCAACGACATCAAATGCGAAACGTCTCACTGAGCGGGCTTCGAGCTTACGTTGGCACCGCGCTTTTGTAGCCATAGTCTTGACTTGGTAGGCTTTATTGTCCACAATAGTGGAGAGCAGGTACGTGTTCACTTCCTCGCCATCAATGCTAGGGCTACGTGTACCTATCGCGGCGCTAATCTCCTCGGTATCAAGATAGACTTCGTTGACTGTAGTCACCGCATATATGCATGATGTTACGACGTGTCGCCAGTTCGCAGCGATGAACTCAGACGGGAAGAGACAGCGGTCCAGTACCAGACGCCATAGCTTCGACTGTAGCCGAGCAATATCTTTTGAGTCCTTTTGATAGGCAGGATATGTCTTTGCGAATGTTTGCATGAAGACGGCAATGGCGAACCTTGCGCTGGTATTGATGAGCAGGTTTGACACTGCTGGAAGTAGCTGCTTGATGCCTTTGATCGATGCACCAAAGCACATCAATAGCTGGGTCAACATACCATGCTGTTCGATACCGGCCTGTACGGCGCTCAGGTACAAGATCACGACAGCGAGCTGTTCATATGTCGCGTTTACCCATAGATGCTGATGATCAACGCAGGTAGTCAATCCGTCCGTGATGCCGTTAATGGTAGTCGGAGAGAAGCCCATATCTTTTGCGACATCATTAACATCCTCGATAAGACCTTCCAATCGTCGATTATCGTTGACCCGGTACGCAGCAATATCTTCGGGCGTGCTAGGCACGAAGAAGTGCTTGGAAGACGTTACCACTGCGATGTCGCACTCACGAGCGCGCATCATCACCGGCACGTGAGATTGATTGAAAGGCGGAAAGTTTGGCAAGATGAGTTTAGTAAGCTTTGAGCTGCGAGACTTGGTCCGGCCAAGTTGGATCATATTTTGACGTTTGCATAGAGTACATGCGAAAGCTGTGGAGTTCGTGATGGGCGTCGTACAGTTCCGTCCACACAGAGATACCTGCTCAGTGTGAACGGTATGGCCACATTCTAGGCGATGCAAGTGTGATGCGCCGCTATAGCAAGGCTCAGTGCGACCCTTGATGCTCATGCAGAGTGTGGTCAGGTCAGGACGCCGATGATTCATCTCTAGCGTTCTCTCGTGTTCTGCGATTGCGCGACGCAGTTCTTTACGAGAACTTGTATCTTCCATGGTAGGGCGTGAAAGATACCTGAGGTACATCTCGTGATCGCGGGAGGTGTGAAATGAGAATTTGGTATGGAACTGTTTATAACCGCGCTTTCTCTCGGCAACTCAACAGCGTCAATAGAGCATAGTGATGATTCGCGCCAGGTTTCGTTGTGAACGCAGGTTATCTCGCGTGCTGATAGCCCGTTATCGAACCGTAGCAGTAGCACCGCCCTCCAACATACACGCAATAAGAAATCCTCGAGGCAATTGGACGGAAGGTTCATGTGATGTTCGTTTTGATGTGAATGTTCTTGATACGTTGTATACATTACTCAATATCTACAAAGTCATACAATCTTTCTCATTTTCGTCTAGTAGTGACCCTTCTTGGCCTTGATGCCCTTGAGGAAGCCAGCGTAGGCAGGCTTCTTCATGTAGTTGTCGTCCCAGAGAAGGGCAGCACCCTCGTTCTCAAAGACACCAGGGATCCAAGAGTACTTGTCGGAGATACCCCAGACAGTCATACCAATGCATCGCTTGACGTTCATGCAAGACTTAGCGACACGCTCGAAAGCATCGGCCTGGACCTGGAGCTTCTCAGGGGTGGAGGGTGTGAGCATGCGGAGATCGATTTCGGTGTACACGACGTCAACGCCGAGGTCAGCAGTGGCGCGGAGGGCAGCCTCGAGTGTTGCTTGATCGGGAGCGGCACCAGGAGCGCTAGGTGTGGGCTCGCTGGCAAGATGGGCCTGGTAGCCAACACCGTCGATGCGTACGCCGTAGGACTTGATGAGCTTGACAATACGCTGGGCACCCTGGGTCTTCTCCGCGTTGTACTCGAGGTTGTAGTCGTTGTAGAAGAGATCAGCCTTGCCGCGGTACTTGTTGGCGAAGCGGAAAGCGATGGGAAGGAAGGCATCGCCGATGGTGTCGTACCAGACGCTGGAGCGGTAGGTACCGTTCTCGTTCAAGGCCTCGTTGACTACGTCCCAGCGTGTGCAAACGCTCTTGTAGCGGGTCATGACGGTCTTGATGTGGTCCTCCATGATGCCAATGAGGGTCTTGTTGTCGAAGCCGCCCTCAGATACCCAGGCGGGCAGCTGAGAGTGCCAGACCAAAGTGTGGCAATGGACCTCAAGCTTGTTCGCCTTGGCGTATGCCGCATAACGGTCGGCATCCGCGAAGGTGTAGTTGCCCTGGTTTGGGTGAACAGACTCAAACTTCATCGCGTTCTCGGGAGTGAAGGAGTTGAAGTCGGCCTTGATGATCTCGCCTTCGCGGGTCTCGTTGCGGAGGGTCAGGGCTGTGCCGATGAATTCCCGTCCTGCCTTCTTCATGGCCTTGTAGAGGCTGTCCTCCTTGGGCTTGCCATGGCCGTAGGTACTATCTCGATGTTAGCCAAGGACAATGGTGGCGAGAATGTGGGTGACTTACGGGCTGGCAACAGCGGAGCTGGCAATCGCCAGACTGGCGACGATGCTGGAGAAACGCATGGTGATTGAGACTTGGGGTGTTGACTGATTCGAGGTTGTCTGCCACGGATACCTTTAAAGACACGGCGAGCCTGTCATCCTATATATTCTTCGACGGTTATTCTAGAAGTCTAGCGTATGCATGCTCAATCAATCTATCCGCTCTCGCGGTTCATCTTCACCCCAGTCGTTTTGTTTAACCGGGCTCGTGGCTCATGTGCGAACTTGCCCTTCGCCGCTGTAAGTCCTTTGACCTGGCTGCATGGCGCCACCTGCTTGCGGGTTGCGGAGTTTCTCCAGACTAATCCACAAATCAACCGGCTTGGACCTCGGGATCATCGGGGTCTGGTCCTACTTCTGGGGTAGACGTTCTGGGCGCCGCTGGCCACTGCCTAAGCGAAATGCACACCCGGGGTAGACAGGCACGTGAGATGCAGGTCCCACTCATGTCGACAACGCAGGTGCAGATACGGCTGCGTTAATGGAGACTGGCCGGTTAATGTCAAGTAATCCTCAGCCTCAAGCGTCCACTCCATCCATCCGAGGGTCTGATGCGCTTGTCGGCGGTGGTGGTGATAATGGTCGAAGAGATGGCAGAAATGAGGGGAAGATGCCTGGTTGCTGGGTTTGGCCGCTCAGGGTCCGCGCTCACGGTTGATTGACGACCCACAACACCGTAAACTGCGATCAACATGCACATCAATATATCGCGCAGTCAATCTACGTCAATCCAACATTCTGTTTATTATTATCCTTCTTCTCTCACGTCGCATCAATCATTGCATTCTCTGTCCCCCAGCCTTACACTCCAGTCTTCCGGCAGATCTCATTAAACTCGATGACGACAGGAGAAGCCGTGGAGATTTAGCCCACCCGTAAAGCCACGAACCACCTGGGCATCGTTTCCTTTTTTAGCGCGAATGTTTACTTGTGCGTGTCCCGCCCCAATGACCAAGATCGCACTTTAGCCATTTTAACCGGCGCCGCATCAACTTCCTCAGATCGCATTATGGGCGTCTCTTCAGTAGAATGACACCGATGACATTGAGTTTGCCTCAGGCAAGGGAACTTGGTCGAGTGCCAGGTGCGGAAGAGTCCGTAGAAGTGGCAACCGGAGTAATGGGGCCGAAATCAGTGCCATGACTCGACGCGCGTCGCCCCGTGACAATGCGCGCAGAACGCTCATCAACACCACCCATCCTATCACCACTCGATTCGTTGATATATGGTTTCCAGCTAAGCATACCACGTTGTACGGTATATAGGAAGCCTACGTTCGACGAGTGCTTCTACCGGTATTAATACAGCTGGTGTCTTCTTCCAAACCTTCAATGCCTACAACGCCTCCTCGGATACTCGTTATGAGAAGCATCGGAATCCTCTGCGATTAGGAGCCCTGGAGACGTCTGCTCTATGATTTGGAACATATCGCTGTTCACCTGGGCACTTCCACAAAGCTTCAAAGATCCGGACACGACATGTATGTCGAGTTCCAAGTATCAGCAGACGTGCTGTAACGCACAAATTGCTGGAGCCGCCCCAGAAACGACAGAAGGGAACAAATTGTTCGTGTTGACGGCTACCGACACGGACATGGATCTATAGCGGACTCTACACCAGCCACAGTACCGATGGATGTTGATGATCCAGAAAAATGGTACTCACGTTTACAGTACTGCTGCATATAACCGGAGCAACTCGGCAGCGACTGTGAATGGCATGATCGGTCGCGTCGCTTTCTGGATTCTCATGTGGAGCAGTTTATTCATTCAACTCCACAGTCGTCCTTCATTTCTACCTGTATCTCGAGTTCGTTACTCATAGCTAGTCTTCAACCGACGATTTGTCACCAAGCTTCTTGGCCGAGATGAGACCTTTCAATGTCACAAATTGGTAAGTATCAGTATTGCTACAATGTTTATTGGTCTTTCTCTTTTACGACGAAGAAATAATCTACAGAAATTAGCTACAGCGCAGCCTCAATAAGAACGGCACTGGACGCTGCAGCCGTTTACATTATGTACGCACAACACCCGACACCTTCGCCTTCACGAACCAGTTATCTGTATCGGCAAAGCACTGAATCATGCTATCGAAACCCATCTCCGTTTCCACCCCCCTGATTACCGATATTCTCCACGTCGAACCGTGTCGGTGGAGACATTGTGACACTCTCAGGAGCTTTGTCTCACCATGACTCTCCCCCGACTTACCATGTCCGGGCTGAGCATACGGTCCCATACCATCAACTTGGTGGACTGAAGATGCAGTTTACAAACAATACATCCGATTTAGAAACCCAGTGAGCAAAAGTTCACAAAAAAAGCCGCAACGACACGGAAGGCTCAGGTATATCAACTGAGTCAGGTACTTCGAGCATGACCCCGAGCCTTAGTAGACCAAGGCCTGCGTTCTCATTTGGGCTAGATGACCAAATGGTAAGGCCACAACCTTTCGCTGAAAAGACTACGAACTACAGCACGCCGCATCCAATGCGACACAACGAGCAGGCCTCCGTTTGCTGATCGGCAACTCCGAGGTGTCACGGGTGAGTTGGAGAATGCGAAAAGGAGAGACGTGAAGTCCAGTGTCTTCACATCATGAGAAGAGGCCCAAGACGCACTTCAGGATAGTGAGGGCTGAGAGCTGATGTCGAGTGGCGGTTTATGAGATACATCAGTAATCATATAGGGAGCTGAGCTTGTTAAAATCTTCATGCACCTACTCAAGGTCAGGCCTCCATGCGTGATGCCGACTCTCGTAACGCGAAAGGTCGGTGAACGTAGGTTACGAGCCCGTCGAGTATAACGCGACGCGACAGACCTCATCTTATCGGACTGATAATTATTGCCTTCCAATCACAGTGCGTCGTCAAAAGATGATGCGCGACCACGGTACCCACCACCTCCGGTCTCATCGAAAATCCATCGAGGCTCGAACACGCAAAAACAGGGAGAGGCGAACTTGGGCATGTACCCCGACTATGAGGTTGGGCACACGATCGACGGAGTTATCAGAGAAGCGAGCGAGATTTGCATACGCGAAACATGTCCCCGAAAGACGCTAGTGAGTAGGCAAGTGCTGATTGGCTCGATGGACGGGACAGCGCGTGGCTGAACAACGTTCCGACGTCAACGGTCCGAATTAACATTTTCCTTCGCCGCAAAAGGCCCGTCCTGT